TTTTATTATATGCATGAACATTTCTCGCAATCACATTGGTCGGATTCTATACACGTGAACAGTCCTCAAAAACTCATGTAGACTGGTTATCCGGTGAATATCGATTTCTAAATATAGCCTGTATGGGAATTCCCCAGAACCTGTTGTAGCGCATGCGCAGTTAGACTGGAACGTGATCTGTCAGACAAAATTAGAAGATGTCTGCTGGCGAACATTTCTACTCCGTTAGGAAAATTACCAAAACTATTTGAGGATAAAGATGCTGTCAACGTAAAAAAAGGCCATTGAACATGCAGTGCATGTCCTTCATGCTTATCTTAAGAAAAAGAATCTAGACGATGCCTTCGAAAGCTACAATGCTGAACTGTTGTATTCAAACCTGGCTAAATGTTACACCGAGGCTCGCGTACAAAAATCAGAACCTTTGGTTTGGTATTTTATTGTTGAAGCATATAATAAAACAGTTATGGGCTTTTGTGTTGGTAAATATGATGTGATATGATGAACCTGAACGAGTGATATTGACCTCGGCTTCGCCTCAGTCAATATCACTCTTTCAGGTTCATATCACATCATATTCACCAGCACAAAAGTCCATAATTGTATAATAACCTACCATCACCCCACCACCGGGGCGGGCTATTAAAAGACCCACAATTGAAGTTGCCCAATGACCCTATTTGTTGATTTATTCATATCACATATTTATGTATTTTTGAATTTAATCATTGAACATTCATGATTTTTACATTAAAAAACACCTATTGTTTTGATGATAAATATTTTTTAAATTTAAAGATGATTAGATTTTTATAACTATGCTGTCATAAATTTTGTTGAAATATGTTGTTTTTTTGCTGTCACCACCCATAGAAATTTTCACTGGGAGGTCATGACCCTCATTGGGAAATTCATACATTGGCAACTATGACAAAAGTCTGAATACACCTGATCATTTACTGAGGATATTCCTTGTGTCTTGATAAATAACAATCACATTTCATCGAGTGGGGCCAATATCTTATTATTTTCCACCATCGTGAAGCACATGTGAGAGATGTTAACCAATTATCCTATCTGAAGAAGAAGTTACATACTGTGTTCCCATGATGAACATCTGTTAATGAATTGAGTGTACATATTGCCTATGATAATCAATCAATTAAGCAGAGGGAATCGGGTTAGGAATCCTTGTTTTGTTATGTCACAATCAAATATTTCTTATTGTAGCTATTTTAACAGAAAATGCTATTTTTGGATTTGTCAGTGAACTGTAAAAATAACAAGTATACATTTTTACTCTTAATAGTACATGTATCAATTTAATTTTTATCCTTAAACTTTCCATTTATATGGTAAAATGGTATATTTATTTATAAGAAGCTGATTATTTGGGTACATTTCACTAAATAGTCAAGGCAATTTTGTTTATTAAAGTGACATATATCACAACTACATCGTACATATATGAACTATTGATAGTCACCTATACCAGTATTGTTTTAATATGTTTTGTTGTGAACACCTGAAGATTTACCTGTAAAATGTCGGTGAGAATTTCCACAGCTGGTGTTTTCACCTGATCCTCCCACTTTGACGTATCAGAGACATCCAGTCCATACACCGGTAATGTGTTCGAACCTCTCCCTGGTCAACACACAAAAAACACACTGGAAGTGTACATTACACTAATTCTATAGTCAGAGGACAACTAAACCTGAAGGTAGAGGTGTGATGATTTCACACTCACATTGTGTTTGATATTTACAGAAGATTCTTAACACTGTCAGCTGTGACATTGATAATTACAGAAGACCCCTGTCACCATCAGCTGTGACTTTGATAATTATAGAAGACCCTTGTCATCATCAGCTGTGACTTTGATAATTATAGAAGACCCCTGTCATCATCAGCTGTGACTTTGATAATTACAGAACACCCCTGTCACCATCAGCTGTGACTTTGATAATCATAGAAGACCCCTGTCATCATCAGCTGTGACTTTGATAATCATAGAAGGCCCACGTTCACCATCAGCTGTGACTTTGATAATCATAGAAGACCCCTGTCACCATCAGCTTAGACTTTGGAAACTACAAAATGTAGAACTATCACTAGAACGAACAGCAGACTTTTACCCCTGCTTGTGCCAAGAACTGTAAGAATGTTTCTTTCCAGAGTGTTTTAAGTAAAGGGACATAACTCCATAAAAGGGGAGGTAATGCCAATTCAATAGTTTTTTTTCATCCCCATCTTTTTGAAAACACTGGGGCAAAACTCTTAATAAAGGGAGGTAATGCCAATTTATATACCTTATTAAAGTCACCTCGATGTATGCATTATGTGTACCAAGTATTCATTCAAATTGTTGAAGTACTTTTTGGGGAGTAATGCAAACATTTTTTTCAAAAAAGGGGCAGAACTCTATCAAATACGAATTTAAGGTAACTAAAATCTATATATTTTATTCACATCTCCTTCATGTAAGGATTCTCAGTACAAACTATCATTGAAACCAATGCAGTACTTAAGGAGAAGTGTAAACAATGTTTTTCAATGAAAGTCTATATCTAAGTACTTTATTCACATTGTTTTTATGTAAGGCTTCTGTGTACCAAGTCTCACAGAGAAATCTGAGCAATACCTTAGGAAGAGTATGACAAACAACATTGTGTCGACGAACAGACGGACAGACAGACAGACAGACAGACAGACAGACAAACAACTGGAGAGCTATTCCTGGAATGTGGTGAAAGGCGAGACCATACTTTACTAGACTAACTTAAGCTGAAGGAATATATATATTTAAAACCTTGTATACAGAAATTAAATTTGACCCTTTTTGCCAATATTCACTTCCTATTACACCATTAAAGCCAAAGATATGTCTATTGGTTATTAATTACTGGTAGATTCCACCATTAAACAAATAGTCTAAAATGGATCCGCCCTAGGATGCCACAGCCTATTGACCAAGTCTCATCAGAATCCTGTCATATTTAATAAAGTTTTTAAGCAAAACCTGTCAACCCACAGAAGTTTGTAAAGGGCCGGTTTCCAAAACGGCCCCTTCTCTGATTCAAATTTCCTGTTGGTGGTGCATTGCCCATGCCGTTGTGGTCACAAATCTATAAAGTATAAAGATTTAGGTCACTTGGTTTGTTTTTTATGGCTCCTCAAAGTTGTACCTTTCAGAAGCTGTCTAAGTGTTGATAAAATGTGCATGTTATGTAAAATATTAATGAAAATCTAATCAAATGATGGTCACCGTAAAGAATACATTCATGGCATGATTGTGACAAAAAATCATGTTTCCATCGCGCCATTTGGCTGTTTTATGGAAGAAACAATCTCAAAAATGCCATTTTCGATGATAACATTTTAGACACAAAAACTGTGTTTTTTAGAGAATACACCCTTTTATGGGCGTTGGATGCAAACCAATTTTTATCCTATTAAACAGTACGTAATATGCTATTGATGAGAGGAAAAATCATCAAAATGTAAGTGGTGGAACATTTTCAAATGTTGGGTTGAATTAGCCTATGGTTGAATTGCCGATTTTCGACTTTCTTTAGATAATTAACAAAAAAACGAGAGTATTTGCTCGGTATGTTGAGAATATGTACACAGATATGAAAAAAAGTGAGAGAAACACTTTTTCATAAAAAAAATCCAAGATGGCTACTTCACAAGTCCCCGTGGTTGAAGACATTGGCTGACAAATAGACAGAACAACAAACAAAACGTGTTCCTTATGATTTTGGTTGGTTTTCGCATTTACGGGAGTGTTCATAGCTACGGGCGATTGTATAATACCTATATTTATAAGTTTGGTTAGTCACATGGTAACGGGGATCTTTCATATCGAGCCCCAAACATACTTTCGACATATGCACTCCGTTGCCGCATGGAAAACTATTTCAAGTTTTGTCGGAATTTCTTTACCTGTGGTTGTAATGGTCGAGGGTTTTCCAGCGTCCTGTAATACCCAAGGTAGTACAAGATACTGGAGATGTGCGCACACATTCCCATCGTTCTCTCTCCAACTGGGCACTGGCAGTAGTAGTCCTTTATTGGGGCCTCAACATCGGGTGAAACGGTGAACCGTATCCAAACNATGTTTTATGAATAAACACGATGTTTTGGAAATATTTATCAAAAGAAATTTATACTATGTTGCGAATTACAATTTCGAGATAACCTTCTTTTATTTACGAACTTATGTCTTTGATGCTGAAATTGACAACTTTATAGAAATATATTTTCACTAAAATTATGAAATCTGGGTGTCGGAAAGGTGTAAAATTATTCTTCGGAAAAGAAAAAAACAGTAGTTGAGCTAGATAAGAAATTATACAGGGGCAGGCTCCTATGGAGAATTAACATTACTGGAAACAGGCCCTTTACCAATCGGAGCACAATATGCAAATTAATTATGCATGGATTTTGCTCAACTTTGAACCTCAGTCTTCATATAATGTTCATGACGGACAGACGCTTCCCTTCCCTTACATCCCGTTGAAATTTTAATACATCCCGTTGAAATTTTATAAACTATGTTATGTGTTTCAGGTGGCCCTGCTACCTACGTTTGATATATCTGTTGCGAATATGCTTCACCTGGTATTTGGCATAGGCCCTGGTTCTTTTCTTCAAATTTTCTACTCCTGTGAAGAAGAAAAAATCATACTACATAAATTACACTGTAAACAAACATTTCGGAAAACACAAATGACGGAGAGATATATATGTGAATAGGTTGTGAAGATAATACATGTGTTTACAGGTGACTTGGGCCGACAGCTCAAATAGAGAATTCCCTATTGAAAAACTCATTTTTATGATAAAACTACTAACCACGTCCAAAAGTCAAGCAGAACAGCTTCTTCTATCAATTTTCAAACTATTAAATGAAACTTTCAGATGCCCCCTGTCAGGCTGTGAATACAACACTGCTGTGTGTCCAACTGGACATATGCTAGTAGGATGTTCTTTCACCTCCAACTTCCTCTATTTGAGGTCTTGCTTACTAATTGAGAAATAGCAAACAGTAATCTTGAACAGTCAAAATATAAAAAGGCTAACTAGTGGCCATCTTTGTCTTTACCAATCAGCCCCCAAAAAGAAACATGCACATCGATGGACCAAGGGAAACAAATTTATGGAATTTGAGAAAATAGCAATAGGAAGCTTGAACAGTCAAAACCTAAAGTGGCTGCCTGGTGGCCATCTTGTTTTTCCGATTAATCTCAAACAAAACAGGCACAACTACAGACTAATAGAGATACCCTATTTACTTTCAATAGGCCTCCTTTTTACGCAGTTCATTGTCAACATTTCCTACATACTTTGTTTGCACGACCACCACATAGCATATTGCTGTTTTAGCCCAAATACTAAATATAGAGCACTCAGAAGGCAGCCCATATACTAAATATAGATCACTCAGAAGGCAGCCCAAATACTAAATATAGAGCACTCAGAAGGCAGCCCATATACTACATATAGCACACTCAGAATGCAGCCCAAATACTAAATATAGAGCACTCATAAGGCAGCCCATATACTAAATATCGATCACTCAGAAGGCAGCCCATAGACTAAATATAGATCACTCAGAAGACAGCCCATATACTAAATATAGATCACGCAGAAGGCAGCCCATATACTAAATATCGATCACTCAGAAGGCAGCCCATATACTAAATATCGATCACTCAGAAGGCAGCCCATATACTAAATATAGATCACTCAGAAGACAGCCCATATACTAAAAATAGATCACTCAGAAGGCAGCCCAAATACTAAATATAGATCACTCAGAAGGCAACTGTGTCCTCCAGGTTTGATATATTCTAGTTGCCCAATGGAGATGTAGGAAATAGAAATAAATATTCAGCTTTTAAACAAAAAGAACCTATGAGTAAAATCAATCTTTGTAGCATACAAGCAATATGCCTTAGTTTTGGTCCTACCATCTTGAAAGAGTTGCCTCCCCTTGTCTGTGTTTCGCTCCTCCTCGGATGACACCAAGTAGTCGTGGAATTCCTTGAAGCCAATACTTTGGAATATACCATGTGTGTAGTCTGGCACACTGCATTAACACAAAGGTGATCCTCATTAATTCAAATAAAGAGTGCAATTTGAAATTTATCACAAAATAGCTGATGTTAATTGCATTTCTTGTTAATACACAAAATCTGGTCACAGATATGTACCCAAGGGTTGTTAATTGATATTATAAAAAGGGTTATGTGACGTAATATGTTACATCTATATGTATCTGTGTGAACTGTATTCATGTTGTATTGTGGCCTTTACTCTGACCTGGGACATTCACACTTGAAACCCACCGACAAATGTATATCTTTGATGAGCAGCAAACAATATTCCCCTTAACTCAGTGTTGTATTTAGTAATTGTGGTAGTTTGTCAGTGGTTTAGGTGGTCAGTGTGGTAGTTGGTCAGTGTTGTGGTTGGTCAGTGTTTAAGGTTGTCAGTGTGGTAGTTGGTCAGTGTTTAAGGTTGGTCAGTGTGGTAGTTGGTCAGTGTGGTAGTTGGTCAGTGTTGTGGTTGGTCAGTGTGGTAGTTGGTCAGTGTTTAAGGTTGTCAGTGTGGTAGGTTGTCAGTGTTGTAGGTTGTCAGTGTTGTAGGTTGGCAGTGTTTTAGGTGGTCAGTATTGTAGGTGGTCAGTGTTGTAGGTGGTCAGTGTGGTAGGTTGTCAGTGTGGTAGGTTGGCAGTGTGGTGGGTGGTCAGTGTTGTAGGTTGTCAGTGTGGTAGGTGGTCAATGTTTTAGGTTGTCAGTGTGGTAGGGTGTCAGTGTGGTAGGTTGGCAGTGTTGTAGGTGGTCAGTGGGGTAGGTTGGCAGTGTTTTAGGTGGTCAGTATTGTAGGTGGTGAGTGTTGTAGGTGGTCAGTGTGGTAGGAGGTCAGTGTTGTAGGTGGTCTGTGTTGTAGGTGGTCAGTGTGGTAGGTTGTCAGTGTGGTAGTTGGGCAATGTTTTAGGTTGTCCGTGTGGTAGGTTGTCAGTGTGGTAGGTTGTCAGAGTTTATTGTTGTTTTTGTGGTAGGTTGTCAGCGTGGTTGGTAGTCAGTGTTGTAGGTTGGCAGTGTTGTAGGGTGTCAGTGTGGTAAGTTGTCAGTGTGGTAGGTTGGCAGTGTGTAGGGGGGCAGTGTTGTAGGTTGTCAGTGTTGTAGGCTGTCAGTGTGGTAGGCTGTCACTGTGGGAGGTGGTCAGTGTTGTAGGCTGTCAGTGTGGTAGGCTCTCAGTGTGGTAGGTTGTCAGTGTTGTAGGCTGTCAGTGTGGTAGGCTGTCACTGTGGTAGGGGGTCAGTGTTGTAGGCTGTCAGTGTGGTAGGCTCTCAGTGTGGTAGGTTGTCAGTGTTGTAGGTTGGCAGTGTTTTAGGTGGTCAGTATTGTAGGTGGACAGTGTTGTAGGTGGTCAGTGTGGTAGTTGGTCAGTGTTGAAGGTTGTCAGTGTGGTAGTTAGTCAGTGTTGTGGTTGGTCAGTGTGGTAGCTGGTCAGAGTTTATTGTTGTTTTTGTGGTAGGTTGTCAGCGTGGTTGGTTGTCAGTGTTGTAGGTTGGCAGTGTTGTAGTTGGTCAGTGTGGTAGTTGGTCAGTGTGGTGGTTGGTCAGTGTTGTGGTTGGTCAGTGTGGTAGGTGGTCAGTGTGGTAGGTTGGCAGTGTGGTAGGTTGTCAGTGTTGTAGGTTGGCAGTGTTTTAGGTGGTCAGTATTGTAGGTGGTGAGTGTTGTAGGTGGTCAGTGTGGTAGGTGATCAGTGTTGTAGGTGGTCAGTGTTGTAAGTTGGCAGTGTTGTAGGTTGTCAGGGTTGTAGGTTGTCAGTGTTGTAGGTTGGCAGTGGTTGTAGGTGGTCAGTGTGGTAGGTGGTCAGTGTTGTGGGTGGTCAGTGTGGTAGTTGGTCAGTGTAGTGGTTGGTCAGTGTGGTAGTTGATCAGTGTTGAAGGTTGTCAGTGTGGTAGTTAGTCAGTGTTGTGGTTGGTCAGTGTGGTAGATGGTCAGTGTTTTAGGTTGTCAGTGTGGTAGGTTGTGAGTGTGATAGATTGGCAGTGTCTAAGGTTGGCAGTGTTGTAGGTTGGCAGTGTTGTAGGTGGTCAGTGGGGTAGGTTGGCAGTGTTTTAGGTGGTCAGTATTGTAGGTGGTGAGTGTTGTAGGTGGTCAGTGTGGTAGGTTGGCAGTGTTTTAGGTGGTCCGTATTGTAGGTGGTCAGTGTTGTAGGTAGTCAGTGTGGTAGGTGGTCAGTGTGGTAGGTTGTCAGTGTGGTAGGTGGTCAATGTTTTAGGTTGTCAGTGTGGTAGGTTGGCAGTGGGGTAGGGGGTCAGTGTTGTAGGTTGTCAGTGTTGTAGGTTGGCAGTGTTTTAGGTGGTCAGTATTGTAGGTGGACAGTGTTGTAGGTGGTCAGTGTGGTAGGAGGTCAGTGTTGTAGGTGGTCTGTGTTGTAGGTGGTCAGTGTGGTAGGTTGGCAGTGTTTTAGGTGGTCAGTATTGTAGGTGGACAGTGTTGTAGGTGGTCAGTGTGGTAGTTGGTCAGTGTGGTGGTTGGTCAGTGTTGTGGTTGGTCAGTGTTGTAGTTGGTCAGTGTTGTAGGTTGGCAGTGTTGTAGGTTGTCAGTGTGGTAAGTTGTCAGTGTGGTAGGTTGGCAGTGTTTTAGGTGGTCAGTATTGTAGCTGGTCAGTGTTGTAGGTGGTCAGTGTTGTAGGTGGTAAGTGTGGTAGGTGGTCAGTGTTGTAGGTTGACAGTGTTGTAGGTTGGCAGTGTTTTAGATGGTCAGGGCTAAAGGTTGTCAGTGTTGTAGGTGGTCAGTGTTGTAGGTGGTAAGTGTGGTAGGTTGTCAGTGTTGTAGGTGGTAAGTGTGGTAGGTTGTCAGTGTTGTAGGCTGTCAGTGATGTAGGTGGTCAGTGTGGTAGGCTGTCAGTGTGGTAGGCTGTCACTGTGGTAGGTGGTCAGTGTTGTAGGCTGTCAGTGTGGTAGGCTGTCAGTGTGGTAGGTTGTCAGTGTGGTAGTTGGTCAATGTTTTAGGTTGTCAGTGTGGTAGGTTGTCAGTGTGGTAGATTGTCAGTGTTGTAGGCTGTCAGTGTTGTAGGTGGTCAGTGTGGTAGGTTGTCAGTGTGGTAGGTGGTCAGTGTTGTAGGTGGTCAGTGTGGTAGGTGGTTAGTGTGGTAGGCTGTCGGTGTGGTAGGCTGTCAGGGTGGTAGGTTGGCAGTGTTGTAGGTTGTCAGTGTGGTAGGTGGTCAGTGTGGTAGGTTGTCAGTGTTGTAGGCTGTCAGTGTTGTAGGTGTTTAGTGTTGTAGGTGGTCAGTGTGGAAGGTTGTCAGTGTTGTAGGTTGTCAGTGTTGTAGTTGGTCAGTGTGGTAGGTTGTTAGTGTGGTAGGCTGTCGGTGTGGTAGGCTGTCAGTGTGGTAGGTGGTCAGTGTTGTAGGTGGTCAGTGTAGAAGGTTGTCAGTGTGGTAGGTTGTCAGTGTGGTAGTTTGTCAATGTTTTAGGTTGTCAGTGTGGTAGGGTGTCAGTGTGGGAGATTGTCAGTGTTGTAGGCTGTCAGTGTTGTAGGTGTTTAGTGTTGTAGGTGGTCAGTGTGGAAGGTTGCCAGTGTGGTAGGTTGTCAGTGTGGTAGTTTGTCAATGTTTTAGGTTGTCAGTGTGGTAGGGTGTCAGTGTGGTAGGGGGTCAGTGTGGTAGGTTGGCAGTGTTGTAGGTTGGCAGTGTTGTAGTTGGTCAGTGTGGTAGGTGGTTAGTGTGGTAGGCTGTCGGTGTGGTAGGCTGTCAGTGTGGTAGGTTGTCAGTGTGGTAGGTGGTCAGTGTGGTAGGTTGGCAGTGTGGTAGGTTGTCCGTGTGGTAGGTTGTCAGTGTGGTAGGTTGTCCATGTGGTAGGTTGTCAGTGTGGTAGGTTGTCAGTGTGGTAGGTGGTCAAGGTTGTAGTTGGTCAGTGTTGTAGGTGGTCAGTGTGGTAGGCTGTCAGTGTGGTAGGCTGTCAATGTTGTAGGTGATCAGTGTTGTAGGTTGTCAGTGTGGTAGGTGGACAGTGTTGTAGGTTGTCAGTGTGGTAGGTTGTCAGTGTGGTAGGTTGGCAGTGTTTTAGGTGGTCAGTTTTGTAGGTGGTCAGTGTGTTAGGTGGTCAGTGTGGTAGGCTGTCAGTGTGGTAGGTTGTCAGTGTTTTAGATGGTGGTCAGTGTGGTAGGTTGGCAGTGTGGTAGGTTGGCAGTGTTTTAGGTGGTCAGTGTGGTAGGTTGTCCGTGTGGTAGGTTGTCAGTGTGGTAGGTTGTCCGTGTGGTAGGTTGTCCGTGCGGTAGGTTGTCCGTGTGGTAGGTTGCCAGTGTTTTAGGTGGTCGATGTTGTTTTATTTTAAGACGTTACCTTTCCTGCTGTAAGCGGTCAGCATTGTACTGATGATGGAAGTCCTTTAATTCATTAATTAAGCCTCGTTCTATCATTTTGTCCACTCGCTCGTCAGTTCTCTTTCCCAGTTCTATGGCAGAAAGTCATCTGGTCATACAAATTTAATCTTAATATATAAAGCTTTATCATATTCTTACATTTATACCAAAATCATTGGTATCTCTACAAAGGAACTCTAAACAATTACAATGGAACTGATATTAGAGCACAATATCAACTTCTATGTATTTCTAACAATGAGACAGGTTTTACCAACTTATATTAAACACTCTTAATGGCCCAGAAGGGTCTAAATGTAGGATGAAACAAAAATACACTAAGAAGGTAGGTGTATACTAGCCACTGAGTCACCAGAGTGAGATCACACCCCAATTATAATTCAGACATTCACTTTAACAGATCTCCCTATGAGATTTATACTGAAGCTACACATTGTTGTAACTACTAACATACGTAGACCTTTTAAAGCTTACCTGTTGATACGATACTAACAAATAAGTTGAGAATGATTATGTTTTATTTGGTTTCATCATTATTAAAATTTTATCACAAATTTCCATTCGATATGATCTAACAATGAAAACGACCCTAAGGTAATATGCTACCTTACTGTGACATGGAGACTTACTGATGTATGCTACCTTCCTGTGACATGGAGACTAAGGATGTATGCTACCTTACTGTGACATGGAGACGTACTGATGTATGCTACCTTACTGTGACATGGAGACTTAAGGATGTATGCTACCTTACTGTGACATGGAGACTTCAGGATGTATGCTACCTAAGTGTGACATGGAGACTTAAGGATGTATGCTACCTAACTGTGACATGGAGACTTAAGGATATATGCTACCTTACTGTGACATGGAGACTTCAGGATGTATGCTTCCTAAGTGTGACATGGAGACTTAAGGATATATGAAACATTACTGTGACATGGAGACTTAAGGTTATATGATACATTACTGTGACATAGAGACTTAAGGATGTATGCTACTATCCTCTGCAATATTTGATTTTAAATTTACTCCTGTGTATACCTAAATTACCTTGTAGATCACTCTGTAGCCAGAACACACAGGTATTCAGGAACCTCAGGGGTCCACTTGGGGACTGACTGGACAGTTTCTCCCTCTGGACCTTATGTACACTGCTCAACTTTACCCTGTGTGTGTCATACATCTCTAAGGCCCTGAAATACATATCAACAGCTGTTAAACATAACCTGCAATAAACATTCACATGTCAACTGACTCCTGTGACCTTCAATATGGGTGAAGGTCATTTATAACCTTGTAGCCATTCATCTCTGCATGCTACTGGCCAAATATCACCATTTTGGTTATTCAGAAGAAGTTGTTTAAAGGTCTTTTAAGACAATTGACCCCTGTGACCTTGAATATTGGTGAAGGTCATTCATTTGAACAAATCTTGTAGCTCTTCATCACAACATGCTATTATAGCCAAATATCATCACCCTAGCCATTTTGGTTTTTCAAGAAAAGTTGTGTAAATTAAAAAGTTGACGCTGTCCGGATGTCAGCAGGACAATGCTCCAGGGCTTAAGCTGACACGGCCCACACCAAAGATGTATTTTATTACTGTTCCATTTACCTTATTATCTTGCGTCGATTGTTTGGGTGGATCATCAGGGCCATTTCTGGGTCCACCTCCTTCAGACGTTTAAACAGTACATCAGAGTCCACCTCATCGTATTTTTCCAATTCAGACGACGTCCCATCTCCATATTCTTTTAATTTGTGTTTACCAGAAATGTCCGTTGTCTTGGTATCACATTCTTCACCATCATGGCTTCTCTGAGGTTCAGTCGTCCCATCTGGAATCAGATTCTTGTTACACAAGAGATGGGGGGAGGTTTCCTTGGCCACTTCAACTGCACCTCCTGAACATAAGGAAGATAGTCCTATTTTACTAGATAAATCCACTGGGGGCTCTGCCTGTAATAGTCTCTGTCTTTTGGCTGGACTTTGCTCTTCCTTGATGGCCTTCTCAATATCCTGTTATAACAGAGTGAAAATTCTTTGTTAGGGATAATAATAATTATAAATAATATACAACATTTGATATAGCGCCCTATCTAGCTAACATACACCACTCTAAAGCGCTTTACAGTACACAGATATAGCGCCCTATCTAGCTAATATACGCCACTCTAAAGCGCTTTACAGTACATAGATATAGCACCCTATCTAGCTGGACTAGGCCACTCTAAAGCACTTTACAGTACATAGATATAGCGCCCTATCTAGCTAACATAAGCCACTCTAAGGCGCTTTACAGTACATAGATATAGCGCCCTATCTAGCTAGACTACGGCCACTCTAAAGCGCTTTACAGTAGATAGATATAGCGCCCGCTCTTGCTGACATAAGCCACTCTTAAGCGCTTTACAGTACATAGATATAACGCCCTATCTAGCTAACATAAGTCACTCTAAAGCGGTTTACAGTACATAGATATAGCGCCCTATCTAGCTAGACTAGGCCACTCTAAAACGCTTTACAGTACATAGATATAGCGCCCGCTCTAGCTAACATAAGTCACTCTAAAGCGCTTTACAGTACATAGATATAGGGCCCTATCTAGCTAACTTAAACCACTCTAAAGTGCTTTACAGTACATAGATATAACGCCCTATCTAGCTAACATAAGTCACTCTAAGGCGCTTTACAGTACATAGATATAGCGCGCTATCTAGCTAGACTAGGCCACTCTAAAGCGCTTTACAGTACATAGATATAACGCCATATCTAGCTAACATAAGCCACTCTAAGGCGCTTTACAGTACATAGATATAGCGCGCTATCTAGCTAGACTAGGCCACTCTAAAGCGCTTTACAGTACTTAGATATAGCGCCCACTCTTGCTAACATAAGCCACTCTAAAGCGGTTTACAGTACATAGATATAGCGCCCTATCTAGCTAGACTAGGCCACTCTAAAGCGCTTTACAGTAGATAGATATAGCGCCCGCTCTTGCTAACATAAGCCACTCTAAAGCACTTTACAGTACATAGATATAGCGCCCTATCTAGCTAACATAAGCCACTCTAAAGCGCTTTACAGTACATAGTTAGGGATAATAATAATTATAAATAATATACAACATTTGATATAGCGCCCTATCTAGCTAACATACACCACTCTAAAGCGCTTTACAGTACACAGATATAGCACCCTATCTAGCTAACATACACCACTCTAAAGCGCTTTACAGTACACAGATATAGCACCCTATCTAGCTAACATACACCACTCTAAAGCGCTTTACAGTACATAGATATAGGGCCCTATCTAGCTAACTTAAACCACTCTAAAGTGCTTTACAGTACATAGATATAGCGCCCTATCTAGCTAACATAAGTCACTCTTAAGCGCTTTACAGTACATAGATATAGCGCCCTATCTAGCTAACATAAGTCACTCTTAAGCGCTTTACAGTATATAGATATAGCGCCCTATCTAGCTAACATACACCACTCTAAAGCGCTTTACAGTACACAGATATAGCACCCTATCTAGCTAACATACACCACTCTAAAGCGCTTTACAGTACACAGATATAGCACCCTATCTAGCTAACATACACCACTCTAAAGCGCTTTACAGTACATAGATATAACGCCATATCTAGCTAACATAAGTCACTCTAAGGCGATTTACAGTACATAGATATAGCGCCCTATCTAGCTAACATAAACCACTCTAAAGTGCTTTACAGTACATAGATATAGTGCCCTATCTAGCTAACATACGCCACTCTAAAGCGCTTTACAGTACATAGATATAGCGGCCTATGTAGCTAACATAAGCCACTCTAAAGTGCTTTACAGTACATAGATATAGTGCCCTATCTAGCTATTATAAGCCACTCTAAAGCGCTTTACAGTAAATAGATATAGTGCCCGCTCTAGCTAACTTAAGCCACTCTAAAGCGCTTTACAGTAAATAGATATAGTGCCCGCTCTAGCTAACATAAGCCCCTCTAAAGCGCTTTACAGTACATAGATATAGAGCCCGCTCTAGCTAACATAAGCCACTCTACAGCGCTTTACAGTACATAGATATAGCGCCATATCTAGCTATTATAAGCCACTCTAAAGCGCTTTACAGTAAATAGATATAGTGCCCGCTCTAGCTAACATAAGCCACTCTAAAGCGCTTTACAGTACATAGATATACAATTTATACAATTATCATATACATTAACTAATTCAATTTTGAGGAATTCGCAGGAGCTGCCTTAACAATTGCTAACTACTAGTCCTATGCCACCTGGCTAATATCTCCCTATGTGTGTATGCCTGCGTGTGTGCTGGAGATGTATTGTGTTCTGTTTTGTAATGGGATCGTTCTTCCAACGGCATCTTTTTATAGTGCCACCTCACTTGAATGCTACAGCACAGATACCGCAACATCCACCCCAGACCATTTTATACTCCACCTGGGTTGTTGGAGATGATTGTATTTCTGCATAAATTTCATAATTAGTCAGTTAAGTGCAGATAATTTGTTCTAGAGAAATGTCGTAACAATCAAAATTCAATTGTAAAATGAACTACCGGTAAGCCAATTTTAAACATAAATTATAATACACCAATAACCCCCTATATTAATGCTTCAGGCAACTGATCATATATGATCACACACTGTTTTTATCTACTTCACAATCCCCTTAGTAACAATGTATTTTTATTTTGATATCCTCGACTTTTGTTTCATGTTTTGGAGTGCTACAGCATGTGAGAAGCCTTTCCCCATGGAGACTTGCAGCTGCTGTATTTTTCCACTGTCATCCAACATTTTTTTTTCAAGCTTTAATTATTAACAATTTACTGTAATAAAAGGAAACCGACATATTTCACATACTGAAATAAAAATGTATATAAAATTTAGCAGTTTCATGTTTTTTAATATTGCAATGTTACACAAAAATCTACAATTTTCCTAATTTTGTGAAAATGGCAGTACAATATATATTTTCCTAATTAAATTAAATCGGAGTTAAATCCCAAGACATTTCTACATACGTCTCCTACATGTGTGGGTTGATAGGTGGAATGTGTACAGCCTACTCATGACCAAGCAACTGCAATAACAGTTAAGGTGTAGGAAAGACACACAATGGGGTGGCCATTTGTACATGTATATGTAGGAAATGGTTATTTCCTCCAGATGTGTACTAGTAGAACTGTAGCTGGTCACCAGAGTTGAATTACCGACATTCTACACCAGGGAACAGAACAAGGTACCCATTAAAGCATCTATCAAGGGCTGTGAGGGCAGGCGATGACATACACACTAGAAAACAGGCCATTCCAACAGTCTTTACCTCACTAATAGCTTCTGCAGAGACACTCTGAGACTTGTGTACAAGTTGAAGAAAAAGACTTTCACATACATTATCACTGTATTGAACATAAAATTACACCGGACAATTCATTCAGTTTATGTAGTTTTCCCATTTTGGTCAATATTGATTTACTTTAAGATATTAGCTCATCATCCATGTTTAGTTCAATCTCAAATTCACCTGACAAGTTAGTATTTAGTGTATTTGTGCTGTAGTATGTCTTGATGGGTCTGATCCAGGTGGCTAGACCATCACAAGTCTGTGAGAATGTGGGGACAACACCCTTGGGAGTGGCCAGAGGGTAGGCTGACCTCGTCATGGCCCCCCCACAAGTCTGGAACCATGGTTAAATGACACATCAACCACATGGAGGGGTCCCCCATCTCCACTCTCACAGACACAAGAGGGAAATGTAGGTATCACTGCCAATCCTAGTCAGAAGATGATGTTTTTACAAATGGTCTCCATTACAGAGACCAAACCAACTCAGACATCAAGTGTATCTCTTACCACCTAGCTCCAGGGTTGTCAACTCTTAAAACAGTCAGAAAACCAGCAACCCAGTTCCCATTTTATCATTAGATAGAACTACCAATTATTTCTGAATTATTATGTCAACAATAAAACAGTATAAATCGTGCACAGCCAGAGCTGTTGATATTATGTTTTACATACAATGAAATAATCATTGACAAATAGATGTGGCCAGGCAGTCTAAAGCCAGGACATTTTTAAAATGAGGCAGAAGGCAAAATTGGGAAATGCCATCTTTGCCAGATAGAACTTGTTTTTTACTGATGGGACAAGCATTGCATCATATATTATCTAAAGAACACACATTCAATTTATATATACTGTATATATTAGGCGATTGCTTGTGGCCCAAATTGTGTGGTGTCCCGATAAAATACCATTTTATGGGTACACAAATTCATGAATTACGAGTACCAATTCAAACGGAGAATTGCTATATATCAAACTTGTGATTTGTTCGTGAACCTATGAATTTGTGGATGAAGATTACATATGACCCACAAAATCAACAAAATTAAAAAAAAAACGAAAAGTACTGATTTCACAATATGTGAAACTCTAAAAATTTTGCAAACATCCATAAATGATTTTTTCGACCAAATACATGTACACTCCTAACCAAATACTACCACATGTGATTTCGAGTAGCAATATAACGTGACATGCATTCTGACCATTGTGTGAATATATCTTCCCTCAGGTTAAATACTATAAGACTCTTTCATGACCAGGGGTGTAGGATAGGGACACTCAAACTAAGGGGTTTTCAAATTTGGTAAAATCTGAGGCTTTCGCGATGGTTTTGCCAAATTTGTAAACCCAGAAGGGTGAAATTTCCCCATCTTACGCCCCTGGTCATGAAGTAGTAATCTTCTCTCATTCCAACTACTAGAATAAGCTCAAAAACAATGAAAATGCTTTTGGACTGGCTACCATTTTGAAAAATATCAACTTTTCCCCCAAGCTTTTTGACGAAAGCGAATATGTCAGTGAGATTTAGCATATCTCAGATTAAGAAAAACTTATCTCATCTTTCTGACGCGTACAGTAAATATATCGTAAAATGTTTTTTGAGTTTGCCTTTGGGACGTCACGTCACGTAAAATAGGGT